AGGCCCCAGAGGCCGTGGCTGCCGCCAGGAACCTCAGCAGCGTCTGCAGCAAAGCCCTCGTGTCACCGCGTGACAGAGGCCACGCGTGCACGCCGCGATTTCCATCGCCTGCGGAGTGATGCAGCTCCCCGGTCCGCACACGTTCGCGTCGGAGCAGATGAGCGACGTGACTAAGCACGCGCTTCGGGGGAATTGCTGAGCTGCGTCAAATCTAGGTGTTGCCACGGCCTGTTTTCTCTCATCCCAGCTAATTTAAATGGACACATTGGGAAGCTATGGAAGACCAGCAGACTGTGTGCTCAGCACTGTCCGCTGGAAGCGCGTTAAAAAAGCTCTGCAGAAGTCATCAGTGTCTTTAGTTGTTGAAGGTTAAAGCCCACCCAGAAATACTGCTTAGATAAACAAGACCTTGACTACATTTCCCAGCTCTGACTGTCTAGACTAATCCCATATGAGTGGAGAAAAAGAGAAGCCAAGTTAGCTATATAACGGCTGCTAACTGCACGCTTGTGTAATGCATTTGGGGCCAGAGAGCAAAGGGTGTTAGAGACCCCTATGCTGAACTGCTGACTGGCCTTAGATATGGAGAAAGTCAAAGGTCTGGGGTACATGATTAGCGAGGTCATCAGCAGCCTATACTGACAATCGAATTTAGAAGGCAATAGTTTAAATAAAGCGCGGGGGCACAAACAGGGACATGAGGCACCATGGCTAAGCTGAGCGTGAGGTGCACCCATTAGGCATTGGGGCCAGGCCTCCAGCCAGGACCTCAGGTGTCAAGCGGTCAGAGCAAGTGCCCTGCTCCCTTGGTCTCCGGTGCCAGTCTAAATGGGACTGAAGAGGCTGGGGCCTTGGGCAGGGGGGTGTGTGCAGTTACCCCACAGAACAGGAATTGCTGTCAACCCACTATACTCATCCTGCTTAGTAAGCAAATTTGATACTATATGTCACTGAGCAGTGTAGTGCTGTTCTTGCAGCCACCCCACCCCTAACTTCACTCATGATATTAGTACAATGAAAAACAAGGAAATACAGTCACAGGAGGATGCACATATTAATTATTTACACAGCTGCAAAATACAACTACACTTCTAGGAGGTAACCGAGAGAGCAAGCCAGTCGGCAGACAGGTTGAATACTGTATTAGCTTATGTGGCAGAATTTGAAGAGGGATTTACTCAAACCAGAATACAATTTAATACACTTTGTGCAGATTTTTCTCAGCACAAGAGAGAGCAATGAGAGCATTCACACGATTAGTGCCTCCAAACAACTGGCTACAGGAGCTGTTGCTTGCTGCAGCTGCTTCTGGAGGAGTCTTGTGTTGATGTCACTGCTTGAAAAAAATGGTGATAATGATAAAAACTTTTTTTTCCCCATATAAACACATACAGAGATTAAGGAAAAGCAGAGGATTCAGCACAATTAAAGCCTTACTCCCATCCAAAGCTGCAAGAGCAGTATCAGCACGGGGCAAATGAGTCCCAGTCTTGTTTGCTGCTATATTTACATTTCCCAAGAAGACCACTGGCAACTCTGAAGTGATAGGGCAAGCAAGCAGCAGCAGCATGAAAATAAATATTTGAGAGGAAAGGCCAGCTTTATCAACTGTTTTCTCACATCATGTCTTCCTTCAGTTGCTTTTTACATCCTGCTGACCAGCTCGCTATCATTCCCCTGGTAGTTTCTACCTTCACAATACAGTTCCTCAAATTCTTCTCAGGGCCTAACCAGCAGCATGCTCTGGCCCACAGAACTCACTCTTTGAAGGGCCAGAACACTTGGTCACAAAACACAAGTTAATCTGCATACTCAGACTGACGGGCCTTTTTTTTTTTCTTTAAATGAGCAAGGCAATACCACCTCTGCTATTTCTTCTATCTGTTGCTGTAGCAACAGTGAACTTAATACTGTCAACTCTATGGCCGCATAACTCTCCTCTGCTGCAATGACATAAGAATACGTGTATTTTTCCCTCTTTCCTTGTCATGCAACACTGTATAAAACCAGTGTTTATTGATCAGTAAGACATAGCACCAGGGACTATAAAAGGTAATCAAAGAGTCACAAGATTGTATTATAATCTAAAGCACACAAAAGAGTATCTTCCTCAGGTTCCTTCTTTTAAGTTCAGATATTTCTAACAGCTCCTCAAAGAACATATACTAAATTATTTATAGTACTGTTGAAAGAAAAAGCTTAAAGTTGAGAATTTTTTTCCAGATAGACCCTTGTTCAAAGTAAAACGTTAACAAATACCAGGCTACAAAGATGTTACTTACTAATCAAAAACAAGAGTACACCCTTTGGGAGCATGCCTTGAGGAATAGAGGGAAGGATCTGATATTAACATTACAGTGGCTTCATAGCTTGACTAGACAAGAAGTCTAAGTATCAAATAATTGAAGCTACTTTTGCTTCCATAAAGAAGCAGTGAACGTATTAAACAAAAAGTATACAGACTACTTCTGTAGCTGTAGAACTGAACATGAATTTCTTAAAATGTGTCCATGAGTCACCCTAAGGAAAAAAGGTAACAAAAAATTTCAGTTATTTTATTTAAATTCATATTTACATTACAAGCTCTTAATTATGGCTTGTAATACTAAGCTTGAAAATGTTGATTTAAATGATCCGTGCCAGAAGCAAACTAGATATAACCAAATCTTCCAATTTGTATAAATAAAATGTCCCCTTTTGACATTTTAATGGGCCAAAAATCCAAATGCAGCAACTTCTTATACCTTCTTTCATGCAAATAACTAAGAATGTCAGCCTGAAAGAAGCCCAACATCCCGACTGAGAATCGCTAACCAAATTTATCAGTGCCGTACAAATGACCAATGCAGGTATGAAGGACCAGTTTGTATATACAGTATTTATTCTAAGCAGCTGTTCCAATACATATGGAGATAATGTATAGTATATACACAAGCAATGATCAGAATACACAGATATTATGTTCTATTTACAAAAGTTTAAATCCTCAGTGATAAGACCACCTGAAGGTCTGAAATAATTCTTCTCCCAAATGCAAGCAGTTAACTGGATTCCTTTCGTAAAACGTTGCAAAAACTTGACAACAATTAACAAAAGTTCTCTGATGAAAAGATGTATTTAAAATGGCATTAGTTAAAAAAGGATCACATGTTTGCATTTCTGACACTTCACAGTCTTAAATAGTACAGGATTTTTCTTCTGCGTTTTTGCACATTAGCAGTGACTGGCTAGGACATTGAAGAAGTGAAAAACTTCATCTTTATCCATCACTGCCACTTCAGTTGAACATTCAGTACACATTACTGGATGATATACTTCCTCCTCTTCTTGATTTGACTGTATGGAGGTAGATTCTTTGCTGTGCCTCATTTTCTTATTTCTTTTCTTTAGCTTCTTTCTGTATTTCAGAATTTCGTCTTTGTTAACAGAGCAGTTCATCACAAACATCGCTCTATATTGCGTTTTGTAAGATTCATGTCTATGAAGAAGGGAAGAAAATACAAGTCATACCTCGGGTAAAACCCTGCTTCCAAGAAACTGATTATCATCACCGGAAATGGGATTAAAGATAGAAAGTACCATGCCAAAGGGATGAAAGCCAAACAAATACAAAGTTTTATAAACAAAAGTCAGAACTACAAAATCACAAAAATAGAACTGTAGTCATCTGTCTTGTTTTTAAGGTAAGTATTTAAAAATACAGTGGTTCTTACTGAAGTAAGCACTGCAATAAGTACTGGAGAACAACGACATTGCCACTACAGAGTTATGTATGGCTATTTATAGCTGATGATAGGCAAAGATCATGAAGCTGGGAGTGCAAACGGTTCAAATACTAGCATTTACATACTAAAACTTCTTGTAAGCCTGAAATTTCTTATTTAGAAACAACAATCATTGACCCTTAACACTTGGAAAAACATGTCTATAATAAAATATAAAATGTATTTTCATCTGTTGCAAGTATAACACCTAAATAGTTGGGGGAGGGTATGCAGTAAATTATCCCCCAGACTGCAGTTTTGCAACAGCCTAAACCCAGATAACAGGTGGCTGTCCAACAAAGTCCTGTCTTGACTTTTGCTGGCTCTGCTGCTCATATAACACTGTGATGAGCTTTTTAGACTTACTAAGGCCCCCCCTCCCCCCCAAATCAGTCTGTCAATGTACAGTTTTCTGACAGTTTAGCCAGCTGCAATACTTAATTATTTCACAGACAGCAAGGGGAAGAGAACGGAAACAGGACACAGCATTCAGATGAGTTTAGGCTGCGCTGGAATTTCAATCTCAGTCACCAAAGGTACTCAATACCGAAAGGCAGCTTATTCCTCATTTCATAGGGTTTCCTTCTCCCCCCCCCTCCCCCAAGAGTCCTTTATCTAGCACAGGTTAGGAGTACACATGCAGCCAGATACTTGACAGTTGCAAAACATGCTATGAATTCACAGCTAAATGCTTTCCAGGAACTCGTTAACTAAACTCCAAACCACAATTACTAACATTCAAAAAAAGTAAGAACACTGTTTTCCTTTTGCCTAACCCTGCCCTAAACAAGGCACTTTTACACAAAAATACCAGTTACCTTGGAATAATTCCATGCCTCTAAAAGCTTTGTATATCTTAAATTCTTTATTAAATAAATCAAGCCAACATATTTTTCCAGAAACAAATTCAGCTGTTAAGTTCAACTCCCTGTTTAGTCTCCATGAAAGGGCTCTTTTATAGTTCACCTTCCCTAGTATGCTGAAGTTCTGCCCTGTTCTTCATCTCATCTCCATGTTGCAGGTTAAACCGATTATTTAGCCTTCAAACTAGTATTCAACCCTAAAACTCATTCACATATACCTGCCTCCTCTTGATTAGCTCCACCTCTTAAGAGAGAGTTGATCAAATCATTGAACATACTAAAAATATAACTGACTGAAAAAAAGTCATTACAAAAAGACCCCTTATTGTTCACTAATTACCTCTGACAGTCCAGGCATAACGTTGTCATACAAGCAGGGCAATTCAAAACAGCATCACTATTTGGAACAGCTAGAGGTTTTTGCTGCTGCGCTTGTCTTTGATTACGGTACCTACCAATTGGAGAAGGGAGGAAAGAGAGGCAACAAGTGAAATTATCTGCTCTTGCTGTTAGGCCTATCAATTCAATCTTCAAATCTTACTTATATTAAAATACACCAACAAGCATTTGGCTCCTTCTAGACACCTTTTTTGCTAACCTAGAGCATGCGATTAAAAAAGACTTTGCAGAAAAAAATATCTTTGGATTTACTTTATACACAGGATTCTCACTTAGTAGGACACACACATCTGAAGTGTGGCTTTGTGCCTAATAATCCTGTTCTGAGGAGAAAGGCTTCTCAAGTGCAATCTCAGCAAACAACAAATTAATTTTGCTCTCTCCAATAGATTTACATGGAGAATTTTACTTCAGCTGCAACACCCTAACAATACTGTTTTTCTACTTGACCTCTCAAAAAATCCTCAAGTAAAGCAGCTTTGGGTTGTTCCTGATTGATCTGAACAGTTTATGGCTTGCTAAATTCCAAGTTTTTCAAAACCAGAAACACAATATTTAGCAGAAGCTAATGTTAACATAGCAATCAAAGTATCATAGGGTATTAAAAAACAAAGTTATGCTTTGTACGTTAGGCTATGTATGAAAAGCATAGCATAGCATAGCACAGTTATTTTGATGAGATCTGGCCTACTAGGAAATTTCAGTTTTAAAAGATTGAAAGTTTTAGAATTGTGTCATTTTGAAAAAGGCAACTACATTACACACATTACATACATATAAAAATTTTACAGGCTTTTAAGTTTCATATGCTGTAGATTCCAAATAAAAAATCTCTCTACTACATGGGCTTTACAGCAGGCATTTTCTTTATACTCAACATGTTCATTAAAATTTTTAAGTTTATGATATGCATCCTACAGTTCAAATATTCATAGTCTCTTACCCTCTCCTTTGTGAGTCTACCCACGCTTGGTCTCGACTGTCTTCTTCTGGGTCATATAACAGTTCATCATTGGAAAGAACGCGACGCTGCTGATGTCTTCTTTTTTTCCGGACGTCCTGTGCAACTGCAAGATGTATGCACGCACATGTCAGTAACATCAGCATCCATCAGATATACGATGATTCTCTACTTAGCTAATCAAAATCTCAGTTTTTCTTGAATTTTCCTTTTTCATACATGCAATAAATCTGAACTAAAACATAAACATCTAGCTCATCCCTCCTCCAAAGGCAACAGCCCAAAGAATTAACGCACCTTACATACATCAGGATATATCACAAAGCTGCAGGAGTGATGCTGAGATGATACTGGCTGGTAATTCCCCCTAAAGACCCTCTTCATGAACAGTCCCTGACCCCAAGGAGGATTCTACAGGATCTGAGATGGTGCTACTGTAAAGATGCCCTCCTCTCTCCTTTAAGCATTTACCTATTTTATCTTCATCCTCTGAATCAGAATCAAAGTAAATGTCATCATAGTATTTTGAAGTGGTGGCAGGACCAGGCTGTCCAGTACTTGAGGAAGTATCTGCGTGTGAAATCAGAGAGAAAAGTAATAAGACCATCCCACAAAAGGATAGCAGGTATATGGCCCACAACAAACCTTCATTTCCAAGTTACTTTACCCAGAAGTGCTCTGCTTTATAGGGCTGTTAAGTAACAGCTCTACAGTTTATTCCCAAGTCCTGAACATCCACATTGCACGTACTATTTCATTTACAGGTGCTCTCTCAGAGCAAAGCAGCTTACTCCCTCTGAGATGAGGCTCTAGTATAGCTCTAGGGAAAGTTTGCTCTAAGGTACCCTCCCTTTAGGCACACAGAGCACATCCCACCAAAAATGCCTGTATCTGCCTTATACAATCTGCACACCCTCAAAAACTCCACAGATCTTCAGACTCGTACTAAAAAAATACAGCTGTGGCACACTGTCTCACAAACTTTGATTAAAATAAAATTCATACAAAAAATTTACATCTCAGGACCACAGAAGCCCAGAAATTCCCTAGGTCAACTGCCAGTCACATCTGACGCAGCCAGTCTGCACCAGAAACTATATTCCATTGTGGATGCATTTAGTAGTATAAATGCTGCTACATCTTCTTAATTGCATTACCAAACATCACGTTTTCCCCCCTCACACCAATAAAACTATTAAACCTGTTGAACGCAGAATAAAAATATTCTTAATATCCCCAGGATAGTAATACTTCACTGGGCACTTTATAATAGGTAAAAAGAACACATGCTCTTTGAACGCCAAAGCAATCAATCTATTGTACTTAAAATCATACACAAACTCCAGCACAGATAAATCCCTAGTGCCACTGTACTAGGTGATGAAGCCTGTAACTACTGGCAGGTGAGAGAGAAACAGATCAATATTTTTCCTGACTTTTTTTCTCATTTTGAAATTCCACTGCATGCTTCACAAAAGGGCTCCAACTCTTGATAGCATCTGCAGCCACTAGACAGAGAAAGTACAAGAGATTTCAACCTGCTCAAGCCTTCCAATTGTGTATGTGGCAGATAGAAACGAAAGTTATAGAGGCATTGGAAGAAGGGTATTGAGCCAACAAAGAGAAATCACAACAAAATAGGAAATCAGAAGTTCAGGAACACCAAAAAGAAAGTCTTAGAAAAGATGAAACAGAAGCGTTCACTTAACTGTTACCCAGTGATCATTTGTGCAGAAGTGATTAGCCGTTTTATGATTTTTTCTACAGATTTCATAGAGACCTTGACCATCACCCCCACGAAGCAGTCTGCACAGAATAATACATTAACTTAACACCTCAACTGGACACCACTTAACTTACAATTTCATATGCAAGTAGACATTAACATTCATTTACCCATTTCTAATGGCTTCCATTTGCCTTCCATAGTTCTCATGGTGGTGTTTAGTTCTGCTTCCATCTCCTTTTGGAACTCATCCTCACTGGAAGATTCGCTTTCTCCAGTAAGGCACTCCCGTATCAACTTCCGCTTCTGATCAGGAGTGCCATGCAAGAGCACATCCACCTCATCTTCTGAGCTACAAATGTTTAAATAGTAAACACCTAATTATTATCACTGGCTTATAATATTGGCTGATTCCTTCAGAAACCGACCATCTGAATTATGTGGAAATACTTGGAAGCACTTGCCCATGCATTTATGAGAAATATATTTGTTCACTAAAATGTTTTGTTAGCTTACTTCTATTACAGCTCGAGTTTGCTCTAATGTAAAGGAGCTTAAACCGACTGGCTGCAGCCTGCTGCCACCCCGTTGCAGCTCGGCACGGTGAGTCTCCATGCAGAAGTAAAGAGTTTACGTACTGCCGTTTTTAGGACTAGAAAAGGAAACACCCCAGGTACAAGAAAAGATTACTGCGACGGTGGCGAAACGATCCTTCCGCAAACCACACGAGCGGCGCTTTTCTCGGG